TATATTGTCAGCAATTGCCCCAAACACATTATTATAGTAGCAGACACATTTCTGGGTCTTATAACTTCTACATACAACATCATACCTTTTCTATTTCCTCCAAAGTATGTGTTATATTTTTGCATTCACCAAACAGTCAACTGCAAAATTGACAGACATCACTAATGCTTTAAAAAGTCTCCGAATCTCCAGATCTGGTTGTAAAGAAACATGTATTTTCACTCCAACAGATACAGATGGCAAATGGGCCAATTTAACCACTTTCGTCTAAAGGGGAAATAAATACAAGACATTTGACACAACCACGAGAGAAGGACAGTGTGGGTTTTGCATAACTCCGAAAAAACCCTCTGCAACATAATTTACAGAAAGTATTCGAAATGGCGGCAGACGTTTCCATCATTGCGAGCGTAATAGTCACTCAGTGCATTCCACGCTATTCAAATCAAAGGGTGCATCCAAATGACTGCGTCCTTGAGGGTTGGTTGGTTATGACTTTGAATAAAACATAATGCAAACTTGTGCAAAAGTCAAGTCCGGTCGAGAATAATTCACTCCAAACTTTCCCCAAAGCTTTTATCGCGAGCCACTCAAAACTCTTCAGATGTCATTTTGGTCAATTTTCTTTACACGGAAGAAAGAGGTAGAATTGTTGCTCAAGTGGCCATACCTGCATGTAAAAGCCAGATCCTGTCAGACCTTTGAAGTCAAGTAGGCTGAGGTCTTGGTTAGTAGTGTGATGGGAGACCTCTGGGAACAGCAGTGAGGCGGCTGTGGCTTAAAAGTGCCAAACTGTAGTTAAAATGTGTCCTTAGGCAAGACACTTCACCCACTTTAGAATGAGTCAGATGTGTGTGTGTGTGTGTGAGTGTGAGTAATCTGCCTCGCTTGTGTAAGTGTGCCCCAGGGCAGCTATGGCAACACTAATAGTTTATTATTCAATCGCTGACAAAAGCTTAGATTGATTGGCCTTTTTTGTTTGGTGCACTTTGATAGCAGAATTCCACCTCAAATACAGTATATAGTAGATTAGGCCGAAAATGTACACCTCAGTTCACTCTTTGCGAGTCCATATTAACCATCTACCGTCCACTTTTGAATTGATAAAATGTCTAAACTGGGGAGATGCAATTATGAAGGAGGGAATGGAAATTATGTTACCTACACATATACTATAGCACATTTCATACATACACATACTTTACAGTGACAAAAAATCAGAACAAGGCATTAACCAAATAGACACATTTCCAAAAGCCTGGAGAATATCCAAATACACACACATGTACACTGGGGTCATAATTACCCACCGCGTAATAATAAAAATGGAAAAAAAATACATAAATTAGGGTCTAAAAGGGTTTAAAAGGCTCAGAGGCCGGTCAAGGTAGAAAATATCAGCAGAATTCAGCTCAATTATGTTTTATTTAAGGTATTTTTGAATCACTGTGGCATGAAAATTTGACTGGAGGGTTAAAGCTGGGTTCCCCGACTTTCTTCTTTCTATAACACATGTTTGTCCCAACGAGACATTTGACAAAACCACGAACATTGGAATACATTTTTGCTAATGTATTCCAATGTGGTGTTTTTACTGCAAATGGCAAATAAACTGAATCTGAATCTGAATTTGAGTGAAGGTAAAGTAAAATGTGAAACACTGCTTGTGAAAAAAAAATTTTTTTTGAAAGTTAGCTTCATTAGTAACATTTCCAACAACCGACATCCGTCCACAGACTACATTCAAGTACTTATAATCTGGCAAAGTGCTTAAAGTTTGTAAAATGTACTGAACTTTGCACAATAAAGTCATGTATCAAAATGTGTCCATCTTCCCGAGTCTTTTAGAGTGAGGGTTTATTTACCGGTTCTGAAAGCTGGGGTCAGAAAAGCAGATAAGTTTCACCCAACACATTTTGAGACTCCTTCACTGCCACTGGAGCATGTAATATTACCACACGATAAGACCAGGTGCAAGAGTCTGCTATGTACAGTATAGACCTGACAGGCTGACGGCAAGTACACGGCACCTCTTCAAGCGTAATGCTCCTCTCTCCTTATCTTCTCAACGATTAATAAAATAGATGTCGGACTAGAAACGGCCGGTCTTCTCTCGGCTGCAAGTGTATATTTATGTTTATGCAGTAGATAATTAAATATTGATTCCGACACTTGTCCAGCCTCAATTCTTTGCTTCATTCCACCCAGGTCTGAAGTTCAATTGATTACTTAAGCATTTTGGGGGGAGAATCTGGGTTTGCTACTGACCTAGAATGGCCCCAATGTACTGGCCGCCGCAGCTACCTTTAGTTCTTGCTGCAATTTTAATGCGGCTGAAAAGAAAAAAAATGAATGATTCGAGTCCATGTTAGCAAAGTTTCCCTCCCTTTTCAATTTGCTTCCCGGGCATTGATGGACAGCCTCGATTTTATTCTGCTGTGTTGACATGTATAGGAATAACAGGGGGTGTGCCGTTCATTTAAAAGTAAATATTGCATAGACATATTGGGTCCGAGATTGAGAGAGAGACAGAGAGAAAGGTGAACGTTTGCTAGCTGAGGTATGACAACAAAATGGCCGTTGCGCACCCCCTCGACGGAAGAGGAAATGAATTGGTTGCTATAATTCATGAGTGACAGGCGACTATCCTCACAGCCCCCGAGTCCAAACAAGAGAGGCAAGGAGTTTTGAAATTAAAAATCCAAAGAGGTGTCCCGCGGCATGGTAATTAAGGAAACACTTGTGTGTGGTTGTGTGAGCTGGAAGCAGGAAGTCCTCCAAACAAAATAGGTCTCTGGTGAGTCGTACAGTTTAGAAAGTCTAGCTGAGCCAACACAGATTGCGTTGCAGGTACTTTGCCAGAATGGTCAGTGTTCAAACATGTTTTTTGTATTTTTGAAGGAGGACCCAAAAGGATGAAATGCAGAAATAACGAAACACAGGGAACCATGAAAACAGGCAAAGAAAGACAATGGAGTGGAGCACAGGTACATATAGACCAGGGGTGTACAAACCTTTTAGCGAGAGGGCCACTTTAGTTCACCAGACTAGTCCAGGGGCCGACATCACAGACTGAAAAACCGTCTTGACTGGCATCTGAGCTTTATGATGATCGATAACAAAGCTGAAGTTGGCTGAATGACAAATTTATACCATCTCAACAGCTACAGTAGCGGCATTAACGAAAGGGACACAATCAAAAACCACGTCAGTCCAGTATGTGCAAACCTAGTACTTAGAACAAGGTTTATTTGGGCTGAGCTGATGTTGGATGGATGACAAAGTTAACTTGTTTTTGTGATCTCTAGGACTACTTTGGGTTAGCAAGGCAGAGGCCCACAACAAATGACACAGAGGGCCGCAATTGGCCCCCGGGCCTGAGTTTGGTCATGCCTGATATAGAAACAAAGAGACACAGGTGAAACACTGTTGGGCAGGGTAGACTATCAACAGAGGAACAGGATGGGAAGTCAAACTAAAACAAAACCACACAGAACTGAACTGATTTGGACTTGACAAAAATAAAATCATGACCCTGACCCAAAATCAGTGGGATCCAAAAAATGCCTTGGTTGAGGTTGGATTTGGTTTATAATTGGAAATTATTTTGTATCACTTTTTGGCATCAGTGCAAAAAAGTAAAATGTTCTGTTATGTAACCTAAAGAAAACTTCTTTAAATCTGTTATTGTTTTTGTTTCTTACAAATGCAATAAGGCTGAACGATATGGACACTATACCAGTGACTGTTCTGCTGCTGTCAGACTGCACGACGAACAATGAGGACTAACAAGCACGACCGACCTGACCTCACATGTCGTACATTTGTGCAATCATTGAAGTATCTACTTTCCCTTTACTTCACAACTTAGTACCACTTTTTGGAGCAACTTCTCAGAATTCCATTGGTTTGAACGGGAGCAGTCAAAACAATGGCTCTTTGAGTTCTGGCAGTTTCCTAACAGTGGGAATCCTAGTGTTAAAACGCAAGGAGACACACAAACATATACTGTACATTTGCAATTCAAACAAGTGGATTGTCTAGCCCTGCGCAGCCTAAATAAATTACGCGCAGGACTTTGTAACCATGACCCGTCTTCTCGCTCGTGTCTCACTCGTCTCGCTTCTCAAGGCCGGTCTTCTGAGTCTGGCCTTCTTCTGCTTGGATCCCTGCTGTCAGATGGCTGCCAGGTACCACATCAATAGGCTGCTTCAGATTCACTCTTGGTGGAATAGAAAAGTCAATCCTCTCGCCGTGCGCTTGTTATTGTTGTTTCCAATCGCACCCTGCCGCTCGTTATTTTACGCCGCTACCGTCTCATTTCCATATTATTTAGTACAGACCCGTATGTTTGTTTGTGATGTTTTACACGCAGCGGAAACGTGGCTGGTAAAATAACAAGGGAATTGTTGCAGCTTATTTCCAATGAGGATGGTGTTGATTGGGATGACATACATAATAGATAGACTCCGGACAGTGGACAATCTCCAGTTTCGTTTTTCGTGAGTTTGTTGTTGGACTTTTGATGCATGTTTTGGGTGGAGGAGGTAAAACTGAAGTAAAACTGTGTATTTTGTTTAGTTAAATTGTTACGACCCCGGCTCGTGAGGCCGCAACAAAGAAGGTGGGCAGGACACACACGGAGTTTAAGCCCGTGCTGGGCGTTTATTTCTCAAAAATCAAAGTGTCTGCATGTCATCAGTGTACGTGGATCATGTGCTGTGGGTGCAAACGGGTGTAGTGCGAATGAGTATCAGTTTGACAACAGGCGTAATGCATGTGTGGTGCTGAGGTGCGTGGGTGCAAAGAAACAAATAATAATAAAGATTAGCGTGGCGAAGGCGTTGGCTGGACCCAGGATGGTGGATGATAACCGTCAAAGGCAGCAGCCCGGGCCTCCGGCGTAAGCCCAGGAGCCGCAGATGAGAGAGAGAGTGAGCGCAGCGGATGCCCCTTTTATAGCCATCCGGTCCACAGCTCCAAAGATTCCCGGCCGCCTCCTACTGTCCACACCTTTTAAGACAGCCACAACAGTTAACCTGCCACAACACCAGTAGAGGGCCGTCACACCCCCCCCCTTAAGGAGCAGGTCCCTGCGGAACCCTGCGACAACCTGCAAAGCTCACCTTTTGCCGTCACCACACCCAGTGCAGCAAACCCAGCCACCAACAAACTTTTTTTTTTTCCTTGTGGCGATATGGAAATGTTCAGGCCCAGAGAGGATCATCCGTGTCCAGATCCACCCCTCCTCAGACCACTCCTCAGCCCGGCAACTGGTGCACACAGAAGCTGTTTAAGGACAGAAGAAGCGAGAAAGAGGGGAGGGGAAAACAAAACACAAACAACACTAACACACCGGGGCGCGCGACAACGCGTCAGCTACCACATTTTCCTTCCCCCTAATATAGCGAATGTCAAGACTGTACGACTGCAAGAAGAGCGACCAGCGGACCAGACGCTGATTAGGACATTTTAGCGACGACAAAAAGGTAAGCGGATTATGGTCTGTATGTACCACAACGTTTGCGCTGCCACATACGTAAACGTCGAAATGCTGCAAAGCCAAAATTAAAGCCAACGTTTCCTTCTCAATAACTGAGTAATTCAACTGATGGCGATTAAATTTCTTCGAGAAGTAACTGACCGGCCTACAGATGCCCAACTCATCCGCCTGTGTAAGCACAGCCCCAGCTCCCACATGGCTCGCATCCACATACAGCTGGAAGGCCTGGTTAAGGCGCGGCGCCGCCAACACAGGAGCAGCACAGAGGAGTCTTTTCACCCGGTCGAACGCCTGCTGACAAATAGGAGACCAGATGAACTTCACATCCTTGCGCAGTAAGGTAGTTAAAGGCGCTACAACGGAGGAAAAGTTTTGACAGAAGCATCTGTAATACCCCACGAGGCCCAGAAACCGCATAAGCTCCTTCTTGGTAATCGGAATGGGAAACTGCTCCACCGCCTGGACCTTAGCCGCCACAGGTCGAACTTCCCCCTGGCCCACCACGCGACCCAGGTACGTAACGGTCGCCTTCGCGAACTCACACTTGGCGAGGTTAACCGTCAACCCTGCCCCGGCCAAACGCGCGAAAAGCTCCTCAATGCGCTCCAAGTGGTCCCCCCATGTGTCAGAGTACACTACCACGTCGTCCAAATAAACTGCACAACCCAGCATATCACCAACCACCCGGCCCATCAACCGTTGGAACGTCGCCGGCGCATTCCTCAACCCAAACGGCATGACAGTGTAAGAGTACAACCCCGTAGGCGTAATAAACGCAGACACCTCACGCGCACGCTCCGTCAGCGGCACCTGCCAGTACCCCTTCAGGAGGTCAAACTTACTCACAAACTTGGCTGAGCCCACTTGATCAACACAATCATCCATCCTAGGCAAAGGAAAACAATCCGGTTTAGTCACGGCGTTCAGTTTACGAAAATCAGAACAAAACCTAGGAGTGCCATCCGATTTAGGCACCAGAATGCACGGCGACGCCCAACTGGAAGTACTGGGCTCCGCAATCCCATTCTCCAGCATGTACTTCACTTCCGCGTCCAAATACTTGCGTTTTTCAAAATTCACCCGGTAGAAACGTTGTCTAATCGGCTGAGAGTCTCCTACATCCACATCATGCTCAATCAGATGTGTACGACCCGGCGTGTCAGAAAATAAACAGGAAAAGCGAGATAGTAATGCAGTTAACTGTCTTGCATCGTCCTCTGGCAAATGCCCAAACAAAAAATCTAACTGACGAAGAACCTCCGAATTCCTAAGACGCCCTTGTGCGAGGGCGCTGTCCAAGGTACCAGTGACACCATCATCCCCCACAGAAAACGGTGAGCTGACCACAGTCCCCAAATCTTCAACCCCCTGGACAGGTCTATCCACAGCACACGCAGCATTACCCCGACAGAGCTCAGGCCGCCCCACGTCAGCTTCCCGAACCACATACGGTTTCAACAGGTTCACATGACACAGCTGCGTCTTCTTCCTGCGCTCAGGCACGGAGATAACATAATTTTGATCAGAAGTGCGTTCAAGAACTGTATACGGACCAGTAAACTTCGCCTGAAAGGGAGAAGTCACCACAGGACATAAGGCTAACACCTGATCCCCAGGCAAAAACGTGCGTGCCTCCGACCGCCGATCGAACAGCGCCTTCATTTTTCTCTGCGCTTCAGTCAGTCTTACTTTAGCTAACTCCCGCGCCATGTACAACCGTCTCCTGAAGCCAGACACATAGTCCACTAGATTTTGCGGAGGTGCTGGCTCCTTAAACTTATCCGCCACGGTTGCCAAAGGACCTTTCACGGTGTGCGCAAAAACCAGCTCATTCGGGCAAAACCCTGTGCTCTCCTGGGTCACCTCCCTGGCCGCCAACATCAGCCAAGGCAACCCCTCCTCCCAGTCTCCACCCAACTCTGTACAGTAAGCGCGCAACAGCGACTTAAGCGACTGATGAAAGCGTTCCAATGCCCCCTGACTCTCCGGATGGTACGCAGTCGCTTTACTGTGTCGCACTCCGAGCTGCTTAAGGACTTGGGCAAACAAATGAGATGAAAAATTAGTGCCCTGGTCCGACTGGATTACCTTGGGAATGCCAAACACCGAAATGAACTGGGTAAGTGCGCGCACCACGGCCCTGGCAGTTATTGTACGCAACGGATAAGCGGCTGGATACCGCGTCGCCTGACACATTACTGTCAGCAGGTAGAAAGAGCCAGCTTTTGAACGAGGTAACGGGCCCACACAGTCGATAACTAAGTGCTCGAATGGCTCGGATGCTGCCACAATCGGACTCAACGGGAACGGCTTCAACACCTGATTAGGCTTGGCAGTTAGCTGACAAACGTGACACGTCTTAACATGAGCAGCAATATCTTTTTTAAGGCGCGGCCAAAAAAAATTTCTCAGGACCCGATCATATGTTTTCCTCACGCCAGAATGTCCGGCCTCATCATGCGCAACATGTAACACTGCAGCACGAAACTTACTGGGCACGACAATCTGAAATACCGGCTCGCCAACAGCATCGGCATGTGGCATCCATTTTCTCACCAACAATGAATTCTCAAGGAAGTACCCACATGCGGAATCCACTGCCTCGCTCGCCGGAAGCACCCGCCCAAAAAGCTCTTTTAAAGACGTGTCAGCTTGCTGCTCCGCTACCAGCTCACTACGAGACAGAGACAAAGGAAAGTTAGACAAAGGTAGGTGCACCTTCTTACAACAAACCTCGTCCCCACCCCCCTGAGCACGCGCCATAGCCCGCGTCACGGCGCACGCTGTAAACACGTCTGGAAGCTCCTTGCCACTGGCATCTGCCTGGGACAGTGCCCATGGCGGCGGCTCCGATTCAACAGGCACAGTCAACGGGGCAGCGTCCGACCACAACCGCGCCCCCGCCAACCCGTTACCCAAAATCACCGAAACCCCCTCCATCGGCAACGCAGGACGCACAGCCAACGCAGCTTCCCCACAAAATAACTCACAATCCAGAGACACTTTACGCAACGGAACAAAGAGCACGTTCAACCCCATTCCGCGAACCGGAACACATGTACCAGTCTCCGACTCACGCGACCACGGCAACACATCGGCCCGGATGAATGAGTCAAACGCCCCCGTGTCTCTCAAGATCTTAACGCACACCTTCTGGTCACTGCCCACCAGCGAGACGTAACCCTCACGAATGAAAGGAAGGTACGAACCCAACACTTCCACCCCAACCGTCGTCACCTCCGGTTTTACAGTAACCAGGACAGGCGCAGCCAACCCCGCTCCCTTCGGATTAGCGTAACCTGACCTGTACTTATTTTTCAGCGATAGACAGTCTGCCTTTAAGTGCCCCGGCTTATTGCAGTAGTAACAAACACGATCAGCCGTTTGTCGATTAGCACTCTCAACATGACCCTCTCGTTGCCTATTCGGGCCAAACTGATGGCCCGGACCCACACGGCCTGAATACTCTTTGTGAGTAAGCACGTACTCGTCCGCCAATACAGCAGCATCCGACACATTCATAGTCTTTTGTTCATTAATATAAGTTGCAATCCTCTCCGACAAACAGTTCTTGAACTCCTCCATCAAAATTATGTCACGCAACTGATCAAAGGTTTTAACGTTCTGCGCCGCACACCACCTGTCAAACAGTGCAGTTTTCTCACGCCCAAACTCCACATAACTCTGGTGATCGGCTTTCCTGTAACGGCGGTACTTCTGGCGATAAGCCTCGGGCACCAGCTCATACGCCCGCTCTACTGCACTCTTCACCTTCTCATACAGCAAACTATCCTCAGGCGACAATGATGCATAAGCCTCCTGAGCCTTGCCCGTAAATACACATTGCAGTAGTAAAGGCCAAACATTCCGAGGCCAACCCAACGTCGTCGCCACGCGCTCAAACAAGACAAAATATTTATCCACGTCCCTTCCCGTAAACGGTGGGATTAACCGAATACATTTATTTACATCAAACTCGGCTTCAACTAGATTACTACGCTGACTATACACACCCTGTGACGACTCACGCCTCCTCAAATCTGCCTCCAACTCCAACTTGCGCAATTCAAAATCACGCTGCTGTTCATGTTCCCTACACTCCAAACGTCGCATCTCCAACTGCAATTCCATCTTTCGGACCTCCGCATCCGATACCGCCTCGCCCGGAGGAAGGATATCACGTTCAGCTAGCCTGTCGTGTATTTGTCGTCTAATGACCTTCTTCTTGTCTTGTTTTGACACATTGATTTTATAATGCGCAGCAACCTCCAACAAATCATTTTTCGTACAGCCGTCAAGCTGACCCACCGAAGGCTCAGCCACAAAATCTCCCAAGTCAAAACCCATCCTCGGTCAAAAACCAGAAACAGCCACACACACACAAAAAAAAAAAACACCTCGGGACCATACACTGCGAGACGAAGTGTAACCACCAGTTAAAGTGCACCACGATGGGCTCGCAACAACCACTGTCCCCTCTACGCTTTGCCCACACTCCCCTAACTAACTCCCCTCTAGCTCTTCACACGGTTGGGCAGTGGGTTGATTAATGCACGAAACCAGCGGACAAGCCACGGAGTGCCCCCGAGATGACTGAGTAAACAGCCAACACTAACCGCCAGCCCCGTGACACTACAAAAAAACAAACAGGCGCCGCATCATGCAGCGACACCACTAGCCTGCAGGAGACAGGGCCGCCAAAACAGAACCCACATGCACAACTAGAACAAAACACTTCACTCACCTGCATGTCCCGAAGAGAAACAAAAAACTGCCAAAGCCGCCACTACCTTCCAAAAGGAGAAACAAAAACCTCCAAACACACGTCGTCGTGTCCTCCCACACTCCCTACACACACGCAGCACCGGCTCCCCCTCCGATGCTGACGTCACTGCTCATTCACAAAAGTAGGTCAAATCTTCAACGCGCATGGGAACAAAAACATGAACCAAAACTCTTTTTTTTTTTAGACGAGCCCCCATTTGTTACGACCCCGGCTCGTGAGGCCGCAACAAAGAAGGTGGGCAGGACACACACGGAGTTTAAGCCCGTGCTGGGCGTTTATTTCTCAAAAATCAAAGTGTCTGCATGTCATCAGTGTACGTGGATCATGTGCTGTGGGTGCAAACGGGTGTAGTGCGAATGAGTATCAGTTTGACAACAGGCGTAATGCATGTGTGGTGCTGAGGTGCGTGGGTGCAAAGAAACAAATAATAATAAAGATTAGCGTGGCGAAGGCGTTGGCTGGACCCAGGATGGTGGATGATAACCGTCAAAGGCAGCAGCCCGGGCCTCCGGCGTAAGCCCAGGAGCCGCAGATGAGAGAGAGAGTGAGCGCAGCGGATGCCCCTTTTATAGCCATCCGGTCCACAGCTCCAAAGATTCCCGGCCGCCTCCTACTGTCCACACCTTTTAAGACAGCCACAACAGTTAACCTGCCACAACACCAGTAGAGGGCCGTCACATAAATGTACACTGAGCACTCCCATCTAGAATTGAGATCATATTTCGTAATCTATGGTACAACTGTGGCTTAGCAGGACAATATATCGTCTTTGACAGTGGTCCCCGACTCCCGCTCAAACTCCTTTTTGTCCCTTATCAAACACTGTATTCAAGATGGCGCATTGTGACAGCGAGTCCTCCAGCTCTCATGGACATTTACAAGTCAAACTGTAAGCCTATGAGAACGATTCAAAAACATGGTGTAAGTAAATGTTCTTAAAAAGGTCACATTTGTTATTGGTGAGCATATTATTTTCATTTGGAGCAACGGTAAAATTTACACAGATAACCTTTCAGTAAGGTCCTCATTAGTCACTGAGGTACAGTGGGCATTTTCCCGGAGTCTCCTCAAAGTCATCCCATACCTATTTAACATTCAAATAACGTAACACACAAACACAAATGTTATTATATATTATTTTATTATTTTACCATCTTATCACTTAAAATTACCTTAAATTTTATCGGCTTAGTCCCGGCTTCGTCACGGCTTCGTCACGGCTTCGTCCCCGCTTCGTCTCGGCTTCGTCTCGGCTTCGTCCCCGCTTCGTCCCGGCTTCGTCTCGGCTTCGTTCCCGCTTCGTCTCGGCTTCGTCCCGGCTTCGTCCCCGCTTCGTCTCGGCTTCGTCCCCGCTTCGTCACAGCTTCGTCCCGGCTTTGTCTCGGCTTCGTCCCCGCTTCGTCTCGGCTTCGGCCCCGCTTCGTCCCGGCTTCGTCCCGGCTTCGTCCCGGCTTCGTATCGGCTTTGTCCCCGCTTCGTCTCGGCTTCGTCCCCGCTTTGTCTCGGCTTCGTCCCCGCTTCGTCTCAGCTTCGGCCCGGCTTCGTCCCGGCTTCGTCCCGGCTTCGTCCCGGCTTCGTCCCGGCTTCGTCTCGGCTTCGTCCCCGCTTCATCTCGGCTTCGTCCCGGCTTCGTCACGGCTTCGTCTCGGCTTTGTCCCCGCTTCGTCCCGGCTTCGTCACGGCTTCGTCTCGGCTTTGTCCCCGCTTCGTCTCGGCTTTGTCCCGGCTTCGTCCTGGCTTCGTCACGGCTTCGTCCCGGCTTTGGCCCCGCTTCGTCCCGGCTTTGGCCCCGCTTCGTCCCCGCTTCGGCCCGGCTTCGTCCCGGCTTCGTCCCGGCTTCGTCCCGGCTTCGTCCCCTCTTTGTCCCGGTGTCATCCTGGTTTCCTCCCGGTTTTGTCTTGGTTTAGCTCATGTTTTGGTTGTTTCCGACTGTCTCCTTCCTGTTTGGACTGGCTTGTGTCCTTGTGACCCCTTTGCCGTTCTCTGATTGGTTGCTGCACGTTGCTGGAGGTTCAGTCAATCTCATCTTGTTTCTGCATAATGCAATTTGTCACTCCCCTAATCAAGGCTTCCACATAAAGATGATTTAAATAAAAATAAATACAATTGGATGAGACTGGTATAAATTCACAAAAAGCTGTACTGTCTTTATGTATAACCTTTTGTTCGGCTTGATTCACAGCGTCTGAGCGGAGTCAACATGGTCAAACTATTCCGCAAATAATGACCTCATTTTGGCGCACTAAAACAGTGTAAAGTATTATGTTTTTATATCCCCAAATGTCCGACAGCTGGCAGCCAGATTTCATTATAACCTCCATCCCTCGCTCTGTCTCCACATCAACACTTAGCACTTGCTATTGCAGTGGAACCAAAGCCAATTTACTCAATGTTTTCTCTCATAAAAAAGCCAAATTGAAAAAACTGCAAAAAATGATACAACGCGAGGTAATACATGTCTGGATTGAGTGCTGTTTACCTTAATCTGAGCACATTCTGACGGTCTCAAAACAAGATATGCCAATCTCTCCCACTCTCCCTGATTCAGGTTGCCAGATATGCAGACAAATCCAGCTGGGACCATAAACATAATAATATCTGGCAACAACAAATCTATAACCAACACTTTTTTCACAAAGACAGAAATCCTGGTTTTATTCCTTGTTTTGTCGTTAATGATTTGAGAATCATAACAAGTTTTTAGTTCTGTGGCCACATGGTACTTTACCAGTGAGATTAGCTCGACGCGGTGCGTTCTGGCAACCCGGATCACGGACTTTGTGATTGGTAAAACAATAAAGGGCGGGACATAGAAATGAAAACAAAAACAAGATATAGGGGCTGTTATGAGTTAAAGAAGTATTGCAAAAGACCATGTTTTATTATTGCCTTTTGACAGATTAGGGCCCTTTAATGATTACTTGACATGAACATCTTACATAATCCTAAAAGAAAATAAAAAAATATGGAGTATAAATTGATAGCTAATGATGATGGTAATAATCAGGAATGTCATGTGAAAATGTGAAATTTTTTTCAGCCACTTAAATGTTGTAAGTAAGTAAGTAATCTTTATTTATATACCGCCTTTATACCAGAGTCAAAAAAGCTGTTTACAATGTTTTGGGTTTTTTTGGGCAATTGTCCTCTCACTCCACACAGAGATGGGAACGGGGTCACCAGTACAGGAGGTGCATGCCAGACCTATTGTACATGTTTTTAGTAGTAGGGGAAACCGGAGCACCCCGAGGAAACCTACACAGACACGGGGAGAGCATGCAAACTCCACTCAGCAAGGCCCCGTTCCGACCGGGATTTGAACCCAGGATCTTTTTGCTGAGAAGCGAGAGCCACCGTGCTGCCCAATGCACTAACAATGAGGAATGTAGTTTTAGGCTTTTTTCTTCTGCCTTCTCCTTTTGAGAGTTGTTTCATGAACTATATGTACCTGTAGAAAAAAAAAAAAAACATTGTAAAACCGCACTACTGCTATTACTACAACTAAAATATGATTATTTGGCTTGTCCCATTGGCTTTTGTTTTAAGCCAGCCAAAATGTGCTCAAATACTAAACATTATTCAGACATTTATTCCATCACATTTTGCGGTTAATCTTTTTTTTCTTTCCCTGCGGCTGAGAATTGTTGCAAAGCCACGGCGGATTTGTGTCACGTCGATACAGGCTACGAGCTCGTGAACAACATTTACTTCTGTGAAATATGTCATATCTATAGCCCTGGGTGTGAAGCAGCCGTTTTTGGAGTGTCTGCATTTGTGACCGATCCACGAGATATCATCTGAAAGTCCACATTACCTAAGCGCCGTCTGTAATCCCGGCACTGATCATTCCCGGCTGTCAGGAGCGCCGTAGCCTGTATCTGTGGAAAAGCATCTTGACAGCAGCAGTAGTGGCGGCGTCTGTGTCCTCAGCGGAATGCCTCTCCTGGACCGCCGCAAATATACATCAGAGGAGACGAGCGGAGAGAACGAGGCGGTGCCCTAAAAACTGGAACAGCCACCATAAATAAATGTTTTGGAACGACAGCAAAAAAAAGAAAAATAAAGAAAGTTCTGGAACAAGGAAGTGTGTGATGTATTTGGATGGAGCCATTTTTGGAATTATATAATGAGGCAAGTTTATTTGTATAGAACGGTTCATACACAGGGAAACTCAAAGTGCTGAACAAGACAAGGCATTGAACTCATACATAGTTGTGACACGGTGGCAGAGGGCTTACAGGAAGTACGTCCTGGGTTCGAAGCATGTGCATGTTCTCCCTGTGTCTGCGTAGGTTTCCTCCAGGTGCTCCGGTTTTAATTGGTACTTTAGATCGTGTATGTGCCTTCTGTCTGGCGACCCCTGATCTTATCTGTGTGGAGTGAGAGACAAATGGCCACGATTGTAAAGCGCTTTGTGACTCTGGTCTGTGAAAGGCGCTATATAAATAAACATAACTTACTTAATCACCATACATTAAACAAAGGGAAAGATCAAAACCCTCAGTTGTATGTAGTGCTCCGGATATTAGCAGCAATTAAATCATAACTTGTAACTTGTTTAGTGGCGACAGTGGCTCAGTTGGTAGAGAATTAGCCTTAGAGCTTGAAGGTCATGGGTTCGAGCCTACTTCATGAGTCCCACTGATGACTGCTGCCGTTGCGTCTATGGGCAAGACACATAACCCCACGTTGCCTGAAGCCTCCGGTGAATAATCAAGGCTCTTATGGACTCACCACCTGCAGGGTTAGGGTTAGGGGCTGGTGCTAAGTGGGTGTAGCTCTGACTGCCACCCTCCTGACCCAGATATGGATTAAGGGGAAGAAAATGGATGGATGGATAAATCATAACTTGTAACATACTGTGTTCAGTCTGCAGAGAAAACATGTCATCTTTTGCGGATCAATGAGAAAGCCCGGGATTGAGAGTTTGGTCGAGTGAAGGTGGTCCTCTCGTTTTCACTTTTCTGTCTGAAAAGGTGATTTAAAGATGTGACAGAGCAAAAACTACGGAGAGAACCAAACTGTTTCAGAAGCAAGAGCCAGTCACATGGATTCAATTGCAAATAATACAATGGCCTTTTGCAGTCGTGACCAACACACATCTGGGCGCCATACTGAGGGGATGGCAGCTGTCAATCAAACCCTCAAAGTGCAGTCAGCGTGCATTTTTATTCAGCAAAACGGACATTCAAATAAGAATTAGAAGAAAGCTTACAAGGAGAAACTCAACATAGATGTCAAAAGACCGGTGTCTAGCTACGCTCACCTCTATTAGCAATGTATAGAGTTAGATCCATGTGAGGTAGCCGACAAAGAGACTGACCCAGCACTTTCCACCAACATCAAATATGGACATTGTTTTCTTGTGGGAACCAAAGTCAGTGCAAATAAGTTCGAAGAGTTCAGAAATAACAAATCCTTGGGAGATCATGGACCTTTTAGCTAATGGTTGGGTTCAAGATATTTGTCCATTTCAACCAGAAGAATCTGCAAACACCATTCTCACAATTGTTTCTCCAGAACAGCCAAACAAGGAAAATTATGGAGAAAATAAAAAGAACAAAATTAAGATAGAGGGAAAAAAAGGACATATGATGAAGGTCACTTGGCGGGTCGTTTGTTGGAGATTGTGGTCATCCCCTCAATATGGAGCTTGAACCCGAGTGTGACATCATTTGTGGTTTGACCTTAAGGTACATCAGCATTAGTAATGTTTTCTTGTCGATGCAATACGTTTTTTAAACGTATGTAAAGCCTATTTTTTGACGGAAATATATAGATTAAGGCCCTCTTCCTTTACAACTGCCTGTATGTGATAAACCGCAAAGAGACTATAAGAGACGAGAATTTTTAACTATGGTCTGAATGACACAAATGACACCAAGCGGAAGATTAATACATTGACTAATTACCCTTTTTCCCCGTCATATTAACACAACTTTGGCCCACAGCCTGCACTTACACTGTCTAAAAAGCAATCAACCAGGCAGAAACCGTGTACTGTCATAAAACGCCATATAAAAAGTAATTAAAGTTACGAAAGTTCCCGAACCCATTAACTCCCATGTGGAGTTGTGCGAGCTAGCGTTAGCACAATGCACGCACTCACATTTATTATTAGACTCCAGCTATTGTCTGATCTTTAGCATCCACTTTGGCATTTTTCCCGCTGGTCATGAAATGCATAGGCTGCCAGTAAGCTAACCCCCTATGGTCCTGCGGTCACGGAGCAGCTTTGTATGGACGTTTTAAATGCACTCATTTGCAAATATAATGTCCACAACAAACAAACACGGTTGGGAAATTAGGGTCAAATCAATCCATCAGAACGGAAAAAAAATATCTACATGCAACGTTTACAAATAGCAGTAATTTGGAAAAAGATCAATGACCCCAGCTGGCATATGAAATGATGTATGCAAATAGCAAAGGCAGTCAGTGAGGCTAATGCGTCCGCCATAGTGATATGGTACAAAGTCCAGTAATACAATCTGTGGTCCATTATTATGTATTTATTATTTCTTATATATGATGTATTATTTATTATCTATTGGTTATTATTTATTTTAGCATATGTTAAAACACATGCAGCATAGTCAACTTGCAAAAAGGGTTCAAAACAGTGTAGGTGCAATCTAGGTTTCAATCTAGATGTACTTTGAGTATGTGTGTATGTGTATGTGTGCGCGTGTGTGTGTGTGTGTGTGTGTGTGTGTTTATATGAATATGTTTTAGTTTAGTTCTACAGTACAGAGCATGTGCACGAGGAGTCCAAAATCAAACGGTTTTTGTCTTTGAGTTTTTCTTCCTGCTCTGCTCTCGTCACACGGTGAGATGAAGGAGACACAGGTACATATTAGACACAGGGAGACACAGGGAGACACAGGTACATAGGGATACAGAGAGACACGTTGTGAAATGAATAGAAAATAGAGTCAAGACATTGACAAGGTTAGAAATAATGATTTGTATTTTAAATAAGATTTGTTTTACATCCAACTTTGCTTTCATCAAAGAATCCTCCTTTTGCAGCAATTACAACATTGCACCAAAAACCAGGCATTTGCAGCAAGAATAGTCATTTACCACATAAGCAGTGTATAGAGTGTATTTCTTTACAGTTCAGACTAGTTTAAAGTTATCTACAGCTTTTCCTTCAAAGATAAGGACATTTCAATGTGACCCCAAAACTTTTGAACGGTAGTGTATAAACACACAGAGACACAGGTACATATAGACACAGAGAGACACAGGTACATAATAGACACAGAGAGACACAGGTACATAATAGACACAGAGAGACGGGTACATATAGACACAGAGATACACAGGTACATATATACACTGAACAACGCCATGTTGTTCAGTGCTCCCCGAGGGGGGCGTGACTGTTTACATCTGAGGCTTCTCGGCCCCCACCACCCCCCTCCTCCTCCTTACCAGCACCGGGTGAGTACTGTGGTGCAAACACTGACCTCTGTCCGTCTGGCAGTGTAACGACAGTCCTGCCGCTGAACTGTGCTGACTCAGTTATGCATCTGGAACTTAACAAAGTACAACAGAGTTCACTTTTTAAACCAATAGAGACTGTGTGTGTTTCTCGCACCAGCTCAGAAATGTGTTTTAACCTGAATAAACACAAATTTAAAAGAAGGACAGCAGTTAGACGGTCCAACTCTGGAAATCTAATTCCAGTTCTTTGTAATCAATCAACTAAACCCACTGACACTGATATTAATTTTAACCTTGCTCTACTTAATGTCAGATCACTGTGCAACAAATCATTTTTAATTAATAATTTTATCTGTTCGTATGATCTTGATTTTATGTTTATGACTGAAACATGGCTTGACCATAATACAGGAGATGCAGTTTTTAATAGAAGCCTCACCACCAAATTTCAAATTTGAATATGAAACACGAGAAAATAAAATGGGGGGGGCATAGCAGCAGTTTTTAAAGATCGTATTGTCTCCCATAGAGTGTCTCTTGGGAAATTTTCATCATTTGAGTATGTTTCTTTTAAATAGAACTAAAGAAATCTTCTTCCATTCTTATTATTGTTGTGTACAAGCCGCCACAGTCATGCCATAGTTTCACTGATCATTTCACTGAGTTGCTTTCAGTTGTGTGCACAAATTTTGATGGTTTAGTCATTATATATAAATATTTTAATATCCATGTGGATAATGTTAATGACAGATACGCAAAAGAGCTGAGTTCCATACTTGAATCCTTTGGCCTCACTCAGCATGTGAGTGGCCCCACCCATAGCAGAGGACACACCCTGGACCTGCTTATCACGAAAGGGGTGAATATTTCAAAAGTTAATGTAGTTGATGTTGCTCTGTCGGATCATTTCTGTGTATTTTTTAACATGTATTTTGCTACCAGACCACCCGCTAAATATGAAATTGTTAGAAGTAGACACTTAAATGAAAACACGGGTGAACTATTTATGGGAATGATCCATTTTGAGAACACATCATGTTCTACTGTAGATGAACTGTTTAACTCTGTCACCTCTAGTGTGTTGAATGTTCTGGACGCCATTGCCCCTGTGAAGGTAAAAATGGTCACAAATAAGCAAAAAGCCCCATGGATAAAAGCAGGCCCGTCAGGGCACAGAAGCAAGAGTGCCGGAGAGCAGAGAGAAAGTGGAGAAAGTCCAACCTCCAGGGTGATTATAAAACTCTTAAAAGAGAAGTTGTGTGAGTTTAACAGAGTACTACGTAGAACAAGAGAATTATACTTTTCTGAAACTATTGAAGGCTGCAGCAATAATCTGCGTGTTCTATTTTCAACAATCAATAGATTAACGAACCCCCTGTTGAGTTGCCATTAGAACACTACTACTCCAAATCCAGGTGTAATGAGTTTGCACAGTTCTTCAGAGACAAGGTTCAGGGTATCAGAAATACCATCACCTCTACAACACAAGTAACAATGCAACATCCAGTGAGGCTTTGTGAGCTAGCTCAATTGCACCTGTCAATGATGAAA